CTATGATTCTATGATTCTATGATTTGAATAAGGTAATAGCTTCAGTCTGTTCTGTTCCCATCTCAGCTTTCTCATATTAAATACTCTCCCTATATCATACAGTTATTATGTATTTTTAAAAAAGATGTATGTGTGTGTGTGCGCCACTGGGTACCAAATAACTGCTTTTGCTTTGCTCGACTTCTCTGCTTCTCCCTGTTCACAGCATGCCATCATGTAGAAAAAAACAACTGACCTTCGCTGAGTCGAGTCTGCATGTCTGTCCAGGCTTTCTAGGTGTCTTTCTTCCTTGACTGTTTCCTATCCTCCCTGTCAGCAGTGGCAAATGCATTGCTGACGCTGGCGTTGTAGGAGGATTGTCTCTCTCAACTGCAGCTTGACAGGCCAAAATAAGTTTGTCCAGAAACCGCAGACAGCGTGCTATGAGATGTCACCTGTACTGCTCTGCTATGTTCTCTGTCATGCATCTGAGGTTCCTCGATAAAAGTCACTGGTGTTACTGTACGGGTGCAGGCTGGCCCTGTGTTCTCTCATATTTATGTAAAACCATGTGCTGTGTGCTGCTTTGGCTGGCTTGCTTAAGAATAGATATATGGAGAGTTTGATTTAATTCTCGTTTGATTCTTTGCCTTTGGTTCCAGCTTAAGACAATAGAAACTCTGTTGGGCAATACAGCTAAAGTGGGAGAAGTGATTGTGCTTGGGATGATAACTCAGCTCAAGGAGGTAGGTTGCTTTTTATGGTGGAGTATCTAGGTCACCGTTCGTTCAGTGTTATAACGTGTTAGAAAATGAGAAGGCTTAAATGTTTCACCACTTTATCCTGTCATGTAAGTCAGAGGCAGAACTCCCATCCATGTCAGTGGTGTTAAGATCCATTCCCTAAGAAGAGACTTTTCCACAAGCAGTTGGTGCTGGTGTGTGAGGGAAAATAGCCTTCTCTTCTCACTACAGAATTTTGCAATGCTTTATGTCAGCAACAGAACCAGTTACGTTTTCTAGGCATGCCCCTCCTTGAAATGCTGGAGCTTCCAGTGACTGCGTTTGGACCTGCCCTTGCACTGGACTGTGCACCAGCAATCCAAACTGCAGCAGCTCAAAGGGAAGGTGCTGAGATACACTTCATATAAAAGACATTGTCTTCAGTTCTGCCAGAGTGTTCTAAGCCTATAATATTAAAACCTGCTAAATTATTTCTAAATGCTGACTGATAGATGCTTCTGATTGAGGCATTTATGTGTTTGGGTATATTTTGCATTATTAATTAATCCTATTTTTTAGGGGAAGTACTTCCTAGAAGACCCTACAGGAGTCGTCCAGCTAGACCTTAGTAAAGCCATATCCTTTTTCTGTGAAAGAGTTGAAGAAATTTCCTATAGTCCTGGAGAATCTTAAATTGAATAATAAATCAATACTGGCCATTAAAAATTACGTATCGAGAATTGCAGCTCTGTCTTTTTCCTCCTTTTCAAATTACATGGTTGCTGCAGCTCAGTGCCCTTTCACAGAGACTGTTAGGACAAGGTTAGTATTCCTCTTAGTGGAAGCTGGGCGTGTTTCTGTTTGCAGGCTCTTTATGAGCTTACCTGCTCAGCTACCAGGAGCACCTTGCCAATGAAGACAGGCTGAGAGAGTTGAGGTTCTTCAGCCTGGAGAAGAGAAGACTCCAGGGAGACCTTCTAGCAGCCTTCCAGTACCTAAAGGGGCTACAAGAAAGCTGGAGAGGGACTTTTTGCAAGGGCGTGTAGTGATAGGACAAGGGGTAAAGGCTTTAAACTGAAAGAAGGTAAATTTAGATAAGATATAAGGAGGAAATTCTTCATTGCAAGGGTGGTGAAGGCACTCAGGTTGCCCAGAGAAGCTGTGGCTGCCCCATCCCTGGAAGTGTTCAAGGCCAGGTTGGATGAGGCTTTGGGCAACCTGGTGTAGTGGATGGTGTCCCTGCCCATGGCAGGGGGGTTGGAACTGGATGATCGTTGAGGTCCCTTCCAACCCAAACCATTCTCTGATTGCCTAGCTCTTAAGGCAGCCTATGAACTTCAGTAGTGTCCAAATGTATTGCACCAGCTGGAAAGCCAGCTTTGGCTAAAGAACTAGTTTAAGAGTCCTGATCTAAGAAAAATATATTTCTTAACCTTCCTGCACCAGTTCCACAGTGGTTTATATACTGAATCATGCTTTGTTTTGGCAGAAGGTAAAGCAGACTGTTTTTCTTAGCTCGTAAGAAGTTATTCTGTTAATGGCTGTTGCTGCAGTTACATGTCTGCCATATGTGGCTAAACAGACAAGTCTCATGTTGACGAGGCTTGACCGTAGGCTGAGTTTGTGACTGAGGTTTTTGGCCGTGAGCCTTTCCTGTTACCTCCTGGGCTCTGGAGACAGAGAACAGAGCTCTGCGAAATTTGTGGTTTTCAGTGGTGTTGGTGGGATGCGAGCATCTGTGGCAGCTTTGAGGATTTGCCTCAGTTGGCCTGGCTCCCACGTGCTCAGGGGAGATACAACTAGATTGGGAAGATAGACTAGAATAACCAAACAGTGTGATTTAACAATCCGAAAATGCTGCTTTCTGTTGGCAGAGCCTTGGTCCTTCAGAGGCTTTAATGAGTTGTCTTGTTAAGATGATGTAAGGGCTTACAGTTTTGGAGCCTTGGACGTGTTTTAGCAAAATGATAGACATTTCTGTTTGTAGAATATTAATCTGTGCAATATACATCATCCCAGTCTATTTTCTAAGAATGTAGTTTATGTTTGCAAGTAAATAGGAGTTAGGAGCACAAATGATAGTGGGGACAAGCATCACCTATTACTTCTGTTCCTCTATCAGATGGGACAGTTCTCGAGAAAGGGAGCAGTTTGATGGAGACTCTTCTGGGGCAGGGCCAGCAGAAATTATTCCTGTTCCCCTACATTCTTACTCAGTTGGGTTGAGAAGGTTCTTTCTGTGGCTGTGCAGCAAATCCATTCAAAGAAGTGACTGGGTTAAAAAAAGTAGTTGAATTCTTGCTCAGCCTGTTTTTCAGCCAGATAGTTCCTTGGTCTGGTTCACCACTAAACAGCACAGGGACTGGTGCTCTCACAGGAGAGGGATTGATGGAGGCTGGGACCAGCTATGCAGCACAGCTGCCAACTGTGACTAATGTCTAGGACATGATGTTGTTAGAAAAACTAAAGGTTATTTTGTTCTTCAAAAATCTCTTAGGTTGGTACGAAGATGAAGTTTTTCATGTGAAGGCTTTTGGATTTCCGCCTACGGAGCCTTCTGCTACCACTAGGTATAAAACTGGCTTTCGGCAGCCTCACTCCGTATTTTGTTATGGGTTTCTAAGTAAGCACATTATTATTTTGTCATTTCTGTGACATTAAGGTATGCCGTTCATCCCCCTCCCCAAATGCTTCAAAATAAATGCAGTTTTAAGGAAGCAATTCTGGGACTTGCTGGTCTGCTGGGACCAGTACTAAAGCCTGCAGCATCAGCAGAAAAACCCTTCCCAAGGCCATTGGGTCCTGCAAATTAATAACAATTGGGATCTAAGCCCTTCTCAGTTGCAGGACTAGGTAACTATTGCATGGGAATAAGAAATTCCTTGTTGCTCAAAGAATGGATGTGAGAGAGAAACTAGGATAAATATTACCCTGAGCTGAGCTGTTGAATTATGGCAGGGGAGTACATCATGTAAGTGACTGCCATTTCTCTTCCTTGGTTTCTCCATGAAATACTAGATGATTATTGTTACCATCTGAGCTACCTATCATCATCATAATAATTAAAATGGCTTAAGTGAGTCGTAATCAAAACTACTAACGATTTGGGAAGAAAACGGAACTAACTTGAATATTTTCATGGTGTAGAGCCTTCTATGGGAACGTAAACTTCTTTGGAGGGCCTTCTTCAGCTTCAGTAAAGGCTTCTGCAAAACTGAAGCAGCTGGAGGATGAAAATGAAGATGCCATGTTTGTATTTGTTTCTGATGTGTGGCTGGACCAAGCAGAAGTACTGGAAAAGCTTCAAACAATGTTTTCAGGTCGGTGAAAATTGCTTTGACTCTGAGCCTGGTTTTAGAGAATTTTTACCATTTTCTTTAGCCCTTAGCAGCCTCGATGGCTGGAGCTGATGAGTGCAGCAAAGCAGCGTGATGCCTAACTGGTTCTCGGTCCCCGGCTGTGGCTGCATCCCCTCCTTGGCGTGGGCTGGGAAGTCTGACCCCATGGTGAGCTCATTCAGGGAATACCTCAGCAGACAACTAATTGCCTTTGTTGGAGAATTAATTTTATGCTGGTTTAACTTTGTGAACTCTTCGTCATGTGGGCGCTCACGTGAGCATCCCTGTCAGGCAGGGGAGGCTGGACGGTGTACCACTGGCAGCAAGACAGGGGTTTGTGTGCCTTTTTTCAAAAGTATACTTTAAAACGAGAAAGGCAACAATTTTCAGGAGTCCTCTTATTACTGTAGTGTGCGTTTTTGAACTTCCATTTTGAGAAAGCTAAAATCAACCCAACTGTTGCATTTTTTTGGTAAGATCCTGCTGAGCCCGAGCCCAAAGCCAGTGAAGTCTCACTCTAATTTTAGTGACAGCTATTTGCATTTCATGGTTGCTGTTATATTTCTTTTGGATCTTCCTCTAACAGTTCTAAAAAATGGATTGTATTATATTTTTGCAAGCCAACACTTCCTTTTCATAAATCACTTAGTACTAATATTGCTTTGGACAGTAGCCACTTTATGTGCTGTGACAGGAATGTTCCCCTTGCTCGTGAAAGTTCTTCCTAGGCTTAGTTTTAAGAAAACTTCTTAATTCTTTGGAGATCAGCAGTCTCTCTGATGCTTTCTGGTTCTACCAATGAAAAAATGTCAGTTCCTCTTAAAATAGGAGCTGTTTCTTCCACGCATCATTACATCAGTAATGTTGACAACATTTGGATAGCAAGCATCTGGGAGATGTGTGAATTGCTTCTTTGTATTCCGGAGCAGTTTTGGAACAGCTTGTCCTGTCTGTCTTAGGTAGAATGGAAGCGTGAGAGGGTGCTGGCTGCTTTAAAAATAAGCAACGTAAAATTAAGGGTGGGAAACTGCTACTCGCCTAAAGAAAATTGAACACAAATTACCACACTCATCCAGAAGTTACGAAACCAGTTCACTATCTTGAGGGAAGTTGGCAAGATCCTTGAAGCAAGCTGAACTTGACCTAAGATTGCATATGCTGACGTAATAAAGGGACTGTGGTCACTGAACTCAACTGGCAAAGATGCATACATTGCATTTACTGGTTTTAGACTTTTTTTTAATAGGCAAGTAATAAGCTTCATAAATATAAACTAAAAATAAAAGCTGAGTGGAATAGCAAGGAAAAAAACATCGATGAGCCGTTTCTCTGGTATAAACAATTCTGTCCTATTTACCAACTGGATAGAAAAATAGTGAAGTAAATCCAAGTCTGGTACTGCATGTTAGGAAAATGGGGAGGAACCTGGAACGTGAGACGAATGCCTGAGTAGATGTTTTTATTTTTGTTTTAGGGATGGGAATCGGGTTTCTTTTTTCACTCCTTGCTATAAAGCATAAGTTTCTGAGTGATTAGTGATACTGTGGGGATTCATCAGATTCTTAAAATGCTCAGGCAATTCCAGTTACTGTTACTTCATAACGCCAAAGGGTGAATTAAATGTTGGTAGAGCCCTTGAATTGGAATGATGCATGGAGGTTAACAGTAATCCATTGCTGCCTACTCGCTGGTTTTCTCTTGAAGGCAAGAGGGCATTTTTAAATTGTACTATTCATTATAATTATACTTTGTGTAATTATATGACTGGGTCAGGAGTGAGCTGGATTCACACGAACGATGTTGTTGGAAATGGGCCTGTAAACAACAGAGGGCTCCCTTGAAGTGACATTTGTTCATCGCCTTCATCTTTTTTAAGCTAACAAAAGCCTGTATCAAGAAAATAGTTCAGGTGTGTTAACAGCAGCAGAGCTCGAAGTGCTGTTTCAGTTTCTGCCTTTCATGGAATAGACTGGAGGCTGAATGCTGAAAGATACTGAAGTGAATGGATATACTCACAGATACTCTCTTTTCCCAGGTTATTCCTCTGCACCTCCAACCTGCTTTTTCTTTTGTGGAAATTTTTCATCTGCACCATATGGAAAAAATCAAATTCAGTCACTGAAAGGTAGGGAAGTCTTTGTGTACAGTCAGACATGGACATTAAATTAAAATAATGATGGCAAAACAAATTAAGAGAGCAGAAAAGAAACTTTAATTTTCTAAGTGACACATTTTTTAATGTTCTGAAGTATAGAGGTGATTCATATAATACGTGTTTATTGTCTAACCAGGTGTTGTATCATAGATTTTTTTTTCCTGACTCTAGGTTCTTTGAAGGCTCTTGCAGATATTATATGTGAATATCCCAGCATTCATAAAAGGTACACAGCAAAGTGCTATGAAAAGGGAAATTTGTTTATTTTGTGAAACCTTTGCTTTTATTACTTTAAGAAACTAACAGACACCATTTTTTTTCATTATTGTGAGCCAGCCATGATCAGATAGCAGGCTGGTCTCGTAAGTTGGTTTTGAGAGCAGTGTCAGGCTTTGATTTTTATCTAAACTAGCTTGGTCATGGAAGCTGCTGTTGAGTGAGCAAGGTGAAACTGCCTCTCCTTGGAACATTTTTCACATGGATTAAACACAGCCCATGATTCCCCAAAAGTGCTATTTGGGTGAGCCCTTTTTCCCTGCAGTTCCCTTGCGATCAGCAGGGTTCTGCCTGAGCGGTGCCGCTTTATAAACTGACGTTGAAGCCTTGATGCTGCTACAAGCACATTCAGCCCTTCTGTACCAGCCCCAGAAAAGTCATCTGACACACTGAGTGCTGCCTGCATGGAGGCATCGCCTTTCTGTCTTTTCCATTCTTGCACAAACAGTTCTCCATGGCCGCTGGTTTGAGAACTAACCAAAGCAATGCAGTCCTGCAAAGGAATCTTGTGTTTATCCCTTCTTGTGTCCCTGCTCTGTGGGAGCCCCATTCCAGGCCTGGAGAGCTAAATACCTTCTACAGAGATTTAAGTGTACAAAGGGAAGTAAAATCAGGAGGCAGCCATGCTTATCCTTTCTGGCTTCTGATCCTTGAATTCCTAACAGTAGCTGCTAAGTAGAGCCAGCTCCTAGAACGGGCCCCAAAAGCAGGATTGGCCACAGCCTGCAGTTCCTGCGCTCTGCGTGGGATGTGAGCAAGCCTTATCTCCTGTACTTGTTTTCCATCCTGTGTTCTGGTAGGGCTGTCTTGGCCTGCTGGATTATCTGGGGCCCCTTTTTGGGATCATGGAGCCCGTTACCACTGAGTCAGCCAGTCTCCCCTGCACAGTGAACAGTTTTTAGGGTTTCTTCCACTTCAGTGAGGAGTGGATATGTATCCTATGCCTTAGCTGTGATTTGCGTGGTTCATAAGGCGAAGAAGAGCTGCCATCTCTGCTCCCAGAATAGGTTATCTGCGTGCACCTGTGGAGTGACAGTGGGATATAACCAATGTTTAGATCCTTCTAGGATCATTTTGTGTAAAAGTGACACATTGAACTTCTTACAGTAGCCGATTTGTGTTTGTTCCTGGCCCTGAAGACCCAGGTCCTGGTTCTGTTTTACCAAGGTCAGTTTGCTTCATTTTTTCAAATTTTGGAATTTTGAGTTAAGTAATTAAAGAAGGGTCAGAGTCTTGGTTGATACATCTGTTGCTATTTATTTTAGACCTCCCCTGGCTGAAAATATTACTGAGGAATTCAGACAGCTGGTGCCATTTTCAGTTTTCACCACAAATCCTTGCAGGTAACAGTGTTACTTCGTGCTATTTTTCATGGGTTTGTTTTTTTTTAATGGGATGACTAATTTATCTACAGATGTAATTTTCAAAAATTATAAAGTTTGGAAAAATTTGTCTTAAACTTTTCAAATTGTTAGAATTCCACACTTGCATTAATTTAAACTAGTTTTAACTACATTAATACATAAACAAATTAGTGATGAGAGGAAGTAGTGCAGAAAGTTTCATAGTGAGTATTAAAACCACTGTGTTTTTTCTGAATCTGGAGAGAACAGAGGGAAGATGGGAAAGTATTATTTTAATTGAAATGTGCTTTTTCATTTTGCTGTATTAGAGGGAGATCGGCTTTATAATGCAGCTCCCTGTCTTTTAGTTTCATCTCAATTTATTTAATTTCATTAATGTTTCCCATTTAGGATTCAATATTGCACCCAAGAAATAATTATCTTTCGTGAAGATCTGGTAAATAAAATGTGCAGGAACTGCGTCCGCTTCCCCAGCAGCAGCATGGATATTCCCAACCATGTGAGTGAGTTGTGTTCAGCACTTCTTGCTGAGGTCTCCTTGACTTTTTTTAATCGGCAGATCTGCTGATTTAGGGTGCTCTGATGTGCATTCTCATGACACATGGCAAGAGTAACCGAGAGGGATCGTAAGAAGGATCTATACATTTAGTATTATTACTTTCATTTCCATCCTGACAGTAAAATAACCGAAACCATGACACTGACTGATGGCATTGGGTCATTCTGACTGTCCCACTGCAGGTGCCCTTGAACACAGAACTTCATGGCAGCTGACTCCTGGTGTACGTGCACCAGCAGTGAATGTTGTACCAAGAAACGCTGATTCCTAACGGCAAAGTTTAATACAAATTACCTTATTTTTTTTTAAGATTTGATCAATTAACCAGTGACATTTGCAGTAAAACAGCATGCCACTTTTCCAAAAGGTCATCTGTGTTTTCTGCCTTCTGGGTTGAAGTCTTAATCCTGCTTTCCATACATCACCACGGCGCTCTGAGTTAGGATTCTACTTAATGAGTGCACAGCAGGAGTTGATGGGACTTATTGGTATAATTGAATGAGAATGATCCAGGCAGTACTGGCTCATTGCAATGATGGATGGAGTCTCTATTTTGTAGAGGTTTTTTTTGCTTGTTTGACTCAGAAACTTCTTGTAGCTCTTTTTCTATTTATTTTGTAGAGGTTTTTTTTGCTTGTTTGTTTGACTCAGAAACTTCTTGTAGCTCTTTCTTCCTTCGCTCCATCACAACGGCACTCAAGTTTCTTTCTGAACGCAGGGAAACCGTTGTGGACACTGCTGCACCGTGGTTTTGGCGTGCACATGTGCATACATGTATGTGTACGCTGCAAGCCATCACTCTCCTGTACTCGTACACGCTTTCTCGTGCTTGGAAGGGAAGGAATCGTGAAGGAAATGTAGAATTATGTATTGCATTTTCTGCAGATAAGAGTATTGGGTTGCTTTTCCATACTTTGGTTTTTCTCTGCCTTTTCTGCCTGTCATTATTTTTTTTTTAATTCAGCCATCAGTGTGAAAAGATGAATGAGAGAGGGAAATTTTGTTACTAACATTAGATTGAATTAATAGTGACTTTAGAGCTCATGCAGTATTAGTGGAATAACTGGGGCTATGCTCGATACATCCTTTTCTTTAAACAGGAGACCCTTCCACCAAGTCGCTGTAGTGATTTTGGCCCTTTGGGGAAAATGGAGCCTAAAGACAGTTACCTGATTGATTAGAGATCATAAAAGCTTTCAAGGGGCTTGAGGAGAGAGTTTCAGGAACCGAAATACCCTGGCTGGAATTTGACAGATGAAAAAGCAAATGAAAGGGGGCAACTGGTATTTGGAGCGGGGCAACTCTGAGAACAGCCAAAGGAATTGAAGTCATTTGGGAATCAGATTATTTCCCCAGTGCAGGGAAAAAACCGTGTTTAAGTGTGGGTCTTGTGGTTCACCAGTACCGTGAGGAAAGCCATGAGGAAAAAAAAAAAACACAAAATAAAAGCCATGGCAGTGTTGGTACTGGGCTGGAGAAACAGGTAAGCAGATTCTATAGTTTGTTACAGAGTCTGATCAATTAAATAGTTCTGACATCTTCAAATATTGGCTGACATGTTTTGGAAAGGACGTTGTGTATTTTAAAAAAACCCAACACAGCAAACAAAGCAGCAGCTGCCTGTTTGTCGTAGGGGAGTTGCTGCTTTACTCCAGAAATCATTAGTAATCAGAGGGAGTGAGATACACAAAAAACACGTCTAGGTTCAAAATTTGACCGGTAGAAAATGGCTCAAACTATTTATGTTTACCTCGCAGTTTGTGAAGACTGTATTGTCACAAGGACACCTGACGCCGCTTCCGCTGTACGTCAGCCCTGTGTACTGGGCCTACGACTACTCCCTGAGGGTGTACCCCGTGCCAGACGTGCTCGTCGTTGCGGATAAATACGACCCGTTCACTGTCACCAACACTGACTGCCTTTGCATAAATCCTGTAAGATTTCCGGATGCTTTACCAAAACGAGAAGGGGGTGCAGTCGCATCCAAGTGCGTCTCTTACTATTTGTGCAGCATTTTACTTACACAAGTGTGGCAATCTTTCCCTGCAGGGTTCATTTCCAAGAAGTGGATTTTCATTCAAGGTGTTCTACCCCTCCAACAAGACAGTTGAAGACAGGTAAATGCATTCACTTTCTCATTTAAAAGGAAGTATCTTCTTGTTTGCTGGCTTTCTGATTATCAGGAGGAACACAGAAAATCAATTACATAAACAGAGTGAGTGTCAGGGTGGTAGCAGTTGGCGTAGACTTAACGCTTAATACTTGGGCAGTGTAAGAAACACAAATGCCTAGAACTAAAATAATAAATTTAGAAATTAGTAATGAGGAGGAGTGTGATCCAAAAGTAAAAGGAAAGGTAGACTGTACTATATGATTTTCAATAACTGAGACCCAGTTGGGAAACAGATTTGTTTCTGGAGATGCTGCTTGTGACACAGGTTAATTACACTTAGGAACAATTAATTCATTTTGTGATCAGCATCAAGCCCAAAAGCCACTTTCATGCTTTGATGTGTTAATGGATTTTAAATCCATGCTTATTCATTTCAACTGTGGTTTCCAGTGACTGGGAAAAAGGCCAGCTGCAACACCAAAAAAAATCAAAAAGTATCAAAAGGCTTACAGCTGTGGTGACAACTTGCCTTCATTTGGAATACTGATGGCAGAACCCAGTGGGAAAAGTGCAGACTCATCTTCTCTGATTCAGTTTCATGCCTTGTTGCAGAAGCTGTGATTTTCTCAGACGGGGTTTTATAACACCCCTCACCCTCCCAAGGGAATTGCTGATAGTTTGACCCACGTAGCCTTTACTCGAATATAGGAAACACCATACCACGAGATGCTTTCAATAGTTTTAAACATTATTGAGTCTTTCATAAACCAAGAAATAGAATAGTATTGTGAACTGTCTTTTAAAAACTTAAGTGCTGGTTTTGTTTGGTATTTTCAGCAAGCTTCAGGGTCTGTGAATTTCTGCCAGACTGCAAAAAGGGAGCGAGCCTTCGTAAAGCCAACTGCGGCACTCGTTTGAGATGGATTGATTGGTTTTTATGATGTATTGGACTGTTTATAATAAATGTCAAAGCCAAAACCGGAGTATTTTGTACACAAATAAACTTTTACAGGAAAAGACTCTGGTGTTGACTTAGATAACTAATGTAGAGTCACAGCGAAGATTAATTGGAAAAGCATAATAGAAGACAACTGGAGGAACCAGATGTGTGTATGTCAAACAGGAAATATCTCTCTTCTAAAAAAAAGAACTTAAAGATAGGGAGAACTTTGCCTTTTACCATCCTCAGTGGAACTGATAGCTAAAGGGGACACTGGAAACATGGGCTAGGGTTTTTTTTTGACAGAAAAGGTCTGGAGCAGATTTGGGAGGCGTTCTTTTCCAAGGGCAGCGTATCATTGCGGAGAGTGTTACGCAGGCAGGGCGAGGAGAGGCAAGAGGAACACGGACACGGTCCTGTGGAAGTCCGGGAGGAAGAAATCTTGCTGAAGGAGCAGCTGGGAAGGTGGGAAAGAGCCAGGGCCCAGCAGTGCCAACTTCTGCATCAGCAGCTGGTTTGGCTTACAGCGGAGAGCAGCCCATTGGCACCTGAACCAGTCCCTTTTTGATGAAACCCAGCAAAAACCTGCTCCAGCCACTCGCGGGCATTGAGAGCAGGGGAGCAGACTGGTGCTACTTCCGAGTGCCCACATCAGGCATGGAACAGACAGGGGACCCACAGCACCAGCCATTCTGTTTGGCAGACCCCTTCCCACTGCGCTGGCATCATGGGCATGGCCCAGTGGGCAGGAGAAGGGGAGGACAGCGGGATGAGGGCTCTGGAGAGGACAGCAGGCTGCGGATGGACGCTGAGTAGGAGAGGTGGGAGCTGAACTGCCAAGGATCTAAACCCAGACTGGAGGAGAGACTGTGCACTTCCGAACGTGCCGGCCAGCAGGGAAGGCAGTGATAGCTCGGAGGTGTGGGAGAGGAGGAGGA